AACGACAAGCTTGATCTGCCAGGTACCAGCTCTAACTTCCATGTCAGGAATTGTCACTGTCAATTTTCTTTCTGGCATGGGGAGAGCAGCAAACTGCATATGTATGATGCAAGAATGGGAATAGTGAGAGGTAAATGTTTGCAAATAGGGCGTTTCGCTGCTCACCAGCAAGATTCTCATCCCACAGATCAAAGCTTATGCAAAAAAGTCAGTCTGTTTTTCATCATTGACAATCTCATTTTCCGATCTAATCATATTTTCCCAACTGACTTGCCATTGCGCACATCATTTAGAGCCTGGGATAATTCCATGTTCTGTCTTAAAAATCTCCATGTATGGTTCAGTAACAACCTTGTTCTGATAACTCTTCTGTGAAGAGCCTAAGGAGCTGTTACAATGTGACAGGGACTCTATAAATGCAAGTTGTTATTGAGTGAGAGCTTTTCAATTGCCACCTTGTAAACTCACCAATTTAGATTTGTAGATAACAAAGTGTAGAGCTGGATGAACACAGCAGGCCAAGCAGCATCAGAGGAGCAGGAAGGCTGACGTTTTGGGCCTAGACCCTTCTTCCTTGTCGCAGGGAGAAATGCTTCTGAAGGGTCTCAATGTTCTAAATGTAGACATTGTCACGACTGGGGCCAAGTTGGGAAGGCCTGAATGTGGACTGTAGTCCATTGGGGATGATCTGGTTCCGTAGGCAGGTACTAAGAAAGTTTGAAATGATGTTTAGTGATTGTAACAAGGTCAGCCAGATGGACCTCATAGAATATGAGTTCCCTGATTGGGGCTGTTAATCTGGTTCAATCAGGGAGCTCTGGCTGACAAACAAGAACAGGAGTGTCAGAGGTTCTGTTTACTCTGAGAGCTGGCTCTGAGGTAGCCGAATCAGTGTCAAGGGCTCTCCACGTCTCAATAGATGGTGACTTGGTGACAGAAAACCAGCCTCTGTGGAGTTATTTCAATAAGCAGTCATTAAAAGGCAGTAATTTAAAATTTGTCTTAGAACCAGTTTAAATTTTCACTTGGCATCAATAATATTATCCAATTGTAATTATATCCTAACATTAAAGCTCTAATGTAAGTGCTGGTAATTTGGATGCGTTTCCTGTTTCAATTTCCCATATGGCAAGTTAAGCAAGGCCACTAAATGTGAAGCTGGAATGAGGAGTGCTTTCTGCTTAGTTATAGTTAGTAATAAAATAGCAATATTCTTATGTATTTATAATGACTGAGCCAGAAGGCCCAGAATCTGCCTGATACAGATTTATGCAGGTGCAAGTGAGGTAGCAGCTGAAGATTTGTTTAGAAACATAGTCCCTTAAGTTTCACTGGAGCAAATTGTACAAAACAGAGAACCAGTGATTACAAAAAAAAATCTGTCAAGCACTTTGTGGTTTGAATTTTAACTTTTTAAACAAAATATTCAATAGACAATTATCTTTATAAATACAGTGCTTGACGTTCTCACAGTCAATGTCAAAATGTTACAGCTCGAAGTTGAATTTTGGCATCCTGCCTGAGATAGTGGACATGTAGCTTTGCTCGTTTGCTGAGAGCCGTAATAGGCAAGATCTGCCACAAGTGCCACAGGCAAAGTGTTTACCAAGAGGGTGGTTGCAGCTTGTTATTTTCGCTGTTGGCACCAGTTTCCTAGCCAGCGGTCATCACAGTGGCACATGCCAGCCCACAGATGGTGCAGTTTTCTCTTGTTGTTAGTGTTCTCCAGGACAGGAGTGATAACCAATGTTTCAGGCCCTTGTGTCGCAGTTAGAAGCATCCTGCTGCACTTCTAGCTCAGATTACTCCCTGTACAGAAAATCCTTGGGAATGCAAACATGCCTGAGCCAGCAAAGTTGCCTGTGCTTGAAGGGTACCAACATAACTGTGGCCTTTGCCTTTGAATACCCACTGTATGGACATTCATGATTTTGAGCCTCCGCAAGATGCCCAGAATGTACCACCAGCAGCGGAGATGAAAATTGTTAAGTTTCATCTCTTGATTTCAATAATTCATCCAAGTTTCACAGCCGTTCAGCAAATTGCTGAGAACTGAAGCCTTCCAAATCATCAGCTTGGTCCCAACTGTCGGATTGATGTTATTCCGCAATTCAGGAATTGATCTATGGTCGTACAGCTTTGTTGTTCACCAGATTCCGCATCAAGAGAGGGATTGTTCATCACCGTGGACTCAAGAGAGCAGAAACTGCTGACTGCATCCACCAGGGTGTTATTTAGAATGTTCAAGGGTGGCATGGTGGCTCAGTGGTTAGAACTGCTGCCTCACAGCATCAGGAACCTGGGTTCAATTCCAGCCTTGCGTGCATTCTCCCCATGTCTGCGTGGGTTTCCTTTGTTTACTCCTGCAGTACAAAGGTGTGCCGGTTGGGTGGATTGACCATGATAAATTGCCATAGTGCCCAGGGATGTGCAGGCTAAATGGATTAGCCATGGGAAATGCAGCGTTACAGGGATGGCGGGGGGTGGTTTCAGGGAGGGGCGTTGGTTTGGGTGGGATGCTCTTCGAATGGGTGGTGTGGACTTGAAGGGTCAAGTGGTCTGATTCTATGTGACATCCTATCCTATTACCAAACTTGTCTTGATGCTTACAGTGTGAGGGAACAAGGTACAGCCATATGGGAGACAATCTATTAGTCTTCATCACTGAATTTCCATGTGAGCAGCTTGCACAGCATCACTACCACCGAGGAGTGCTCTGACTGAGACTAGCTGTATTTCTGTCTTTACTTGCAGTCTGGATGAAGTGTGGAACGTGCTGTCTGATCTAGTTTGTAGGCATTCTTCTTGTGTAACTGTGGGAAAGGCAACTTAAGGAGCACAGAGAAGAAGATGACAACAGTGTAAGGGCTAGGACACAACCCTGTTTCACTCCATTCCTCACCCTGAAACTATCAGAGATTAAATTATACGTCGTTGTCACAAAGGGAGCAGATAAGACTGAAGAGCTTTGTAGGACTGCCAATTTTCCCCCAAAACTTGTAGAAGTCTTGCCCTGCTAATGGTGTTAAATGCTTTGGTGAAAGCTATAAAAGGAACGCAAAGAGATATACCCTGTTTCCTACAAATTCTCTTGTAGCTGATGGATAAAGAAGTTTATGTCCACTGTTGATCAGCCAGCACAGAAATTGGACTGAAGTCTTTTAATTTTGACCCTAGCAAAGGCCTTCTCTGAGAGGCTAGGGAATAGGCTGCCCCTGTAGTTGCTACAATCTCCTCTGCCAGCTTTGTTCTTGTATAAGCAAATGATTTTTTTGCGTCATGGATATCCTGTGGAATGGTTCTTTCATTCTGACAGTAATGGTCATGGAAGTGTGGCATTAGATAGGACATTATGACGGGGGCTTTTCTGCTTGCTAGGCAATGAATGAGCTCAAGTGATGAGAATTCTTTATCTAACACAACCATGACAGGAAGCTGTGGGGAGCCTTTAAGGCAGACTTGGAGATGTCTGTCTGACAGGAGTACAGTTCATTGAAGCATGTTTCAAATCAAAGTTAGATAGAAAAATAAATAAATGGCATACCATTTATGCCATGTTTGGAAAGTAGAATCATTGTCTTACTCATTGTTGAATTATTCTGTAACAACTTACATTGACCTCAGGACACCCTGAACTTTTGAAGTGTAGTCACTGTGTTATTGTACAAAATGGAACAGGCAATCTCCACACAGCCAGTATCCACAGATGGCAATGTGCTGATAGTTAGTTCGGTAATACATTTTTAAGTGGGCCCGGATGAGGACATATATCAGATCACTCTATCTCTCTAACCTCCACCAACCTTACAGCACTCAGAGTAAGATGTCTGCACTCATCTAACTCTGGAGCATCCCCGATTTTAATTGTTCTGTCATTGTTGATTGTGTTTTCCTCCCAAGCACCTCGTCGCCTCTATCTCTCTACTTCACTTTCCTCATTTAAGACTCACTTTAAAACCCATGTCTTTGAACAAGCTTAGCATCATCCAGCCTAATATCTCTGTATGTGGCACTGCGTCATGTTTTATTTGGTGATGCTTCTGGGAAGCAATTTATTAAGTGAAAGGAGGTATGTAAACCTAAGTTGTTGTTACAATTGTTCCCGCCCCCATATTGTTTAAATTACTTTGTTTTCAAAAAGATGTCAACCGTAGTCTTGAACAGAGCCAATTACTGAGCCTCCACAGCCCTCAAAGATTCACAAACCTCGTCGTGAAGGAGTTTCTCCTCATCTCAGCACTAAATAATAACCCTCTTTATTCAGAGACAGTGATCCTTAGACTTAGATTCTTTTTCCAGGAGTTCCATTGTTCCAATATCAACCTTGAAAAGTCCTTTAAAGATTTTAGTCTTTCAATTCAATCATCCGACTTTCTTCTAAATCCTAACAAATATCCGGCTAGCCTAGCTTCATAGCAAGGATCAGCTCGTGAATCATGGTTATGCTCCTTCTGGGGAAGCATATCTTTCTGTAGTTCAGGAGGCAAAAACTCTACACAGTCCACTTGTGGGTTCAATAAGGCTTTTTGCATCCTTCTACTAGTTTAATTTTTGCACACCCCTCCCCCACCATCTCTGGAATATCAGTGAGGTTGGAAGTGCTACACTCATCTCCTTCATCTAAGTGCATTGAGGTCTGCACATTAAATGTCATGTTTATGTTGCAAAAGAGAAATGACCCCGCTCTGTTCATTGATAATCTCTGTGATGTTACTGTAATTGATAGTCATGCAGTGTTTCGAGTACATTGTATCAAAGGGTCTTTAAGATCCTCTTCCACATATCAATCAGTTCCAGTTTGCCAATTAACCTCAGAAGTTAGTTGATGATGCTCTTCTGATCTTTGTCCACTTGATTCAGTAGCACACGAATGGATTAGGCAATTATGCTCACACTGCCTCTGTTGATTTCTTTTCAGCTTTTAATACTATACAGCCATTCAAGATTATTGAGAAATTGAAAAACATTGATGTTAATCTTACTCTCTTATTTTGGATTAGTGATTTCCTTTGCAATAGGATCCAATGGATTCACTCAGAGCTCATGTCGATGAATATTGCATCACCTCAGGACTGGGAAGTTTCGCCTTTGCTTTTCATCCTGTATATTAAGAACTGTCGATCAGAGCGTGGTGACGTAACAAAGTATGCTCATGGTACGTTATTTGTGGGCCTCCTTTAGGAATGACAAAGTGAGCTATAGGAACTCAGTGGGGAATTTCACTAAATAGTACAAGGACAACAAGACCATGGAACTGGTTGTAAACTTTAGGATAAATCTCAGTTTGTGATGTCACTGATGATTAATGATGTACACGTAAAAGTAATCACCAGCCAGAGGTATCTAACTTTCAAAGTAGATGTGAAGTTAAATTGGGGAAAAAGGTATGGTAGCCAAGGAATTATACTATCTCAGGAAGTTAAAGTTCTTTCAAGTAGATCGACAATTATGAAATATTAACTCTGATTTCTCTCCACAGATTCTGCCAGACCTGCTGAGCTTCTCAGCAATTTCTATTTTTGTCTATGAAATGTTTCCCTATGGCTGTAGCTGAAAGTGTTACCCTTTGGGATATCTCCCCTGGTACTGTTGTGTTTGTAGAGGAGACTTTGCAAGTGTACAGAGACTATTGAAGGAAGAGGTTTTGATGATTCTCGATGAAATCTATTTTTAAAGAATCTTGTCAAAAAACCGGTATTGTGAACAGTGGGAATTGCCCATTGTCTCAGTATAACTGCTGGATGCGCTGAGGGAAAAAGATCTCTTAGATATGGGACAAACTGATTCTTCATTTGTTCATGCCTCTATATTAAAAAACTTTCAACAGGAGCTGTTGAATGATTTGATGAATGAATGACGATACGCACCTCGTGGTGAGACTAATCTTTCCCCCTTTTTGCCTTTTCCTATCTGCATTCCTTGTCAATTTTGTTGTTTTACTAGCTCAATGACTGATTAATTTAATATGCTGGAACAATTTTAACCATATCTAATTAAAGTCAGACTCTTGTAATTTTTAAAAATTAATTTGCATGTAATTTTTAAAATCAATAATGCACCCAAAATGACTTCCCACCAGACATTAAATTGAATTTGATTTTTTCTTTCTTCCTGATCTGATTTTTAAAAAATTGATTTGAAGTTGTTAGTATAGATTATAAATAACAGCAGCACAAGGTCTGGTTGGGATGTTCCTTGGAAGGTTGGTGCAGTCTTGATGGGCCAAATGGCCTCTTTCTTCATTGTAGGGATTCGACCATTCTATCGATTGATCCTTGTAATATTGTTACAACCAGACCCCAGGTGAGGTTCTGGTTCCAGACAGGATACCCCCAAACTGTTAAGCTCCCATGTAGAATCCCTACAATGTGGAAGCAGGCCATCTGACCCATCAAGTGACACCAAGCCTCCAAAGAGCATCTCATCTGGACTCACCAGCTTACCCTATAACCGTGCATTTACCATGCACCAACACACCCACCCCTGGACATGATGGGCAATTTAGCACAGCCAATCCACCTAACCTGCATATCTTTGGACTGTGAGAAGAAACTGGAGCACCCGGACCCACACAGACAGTCACCTGAGGATGGAATCGAACCCAGGTCCCTGGTACTGTGAGGCAGCAGTTCTAACCACTGAGCCACCCAGAGTAAGGAAGGATGAACTGGCATCCCTTCTTCATTCACCCACCCCCTTAGTTGGTTGTAACAAGGTTAATTTGAAAAAAGACCCCTTCTCTCTTGGATATCTTTCTTCCAGACCTAAATGAACTTATGTTTTAAAAGGAGCCAATTTAACCAGGCTTTTCTGGATTAACAAAAAGAGTGAGTTAATTAATTACAAAATGTGAAAAGAAGTAGCAACACAGTACACATACAAACATATTAGAAATAAGAGGTGAATCCAAAGAGTGAAAAATTAAAAGATATATACAGATCAGTCTGAATTGTTTGTGAAGAGTGGACAATTAGACATTGTGATCGTTGCTGTGGAGATTTCTAGTTTTGTTGCTATTGCAAGTTGAACAGTTAATTTTTGAGATCCTTGACTTTATGGGTTAACTAAAGTTTCCTCATCCTGATTCCTTTTTTAACTGGTTTGCAGCACTCAGAGTGAGAGACAGTCGTCTTTTACCTGCAACACAGTCTTTTGCTTTGACTTCAAATCACACTAGTACTCAAACACAGACAGGAATACACAGAGCATTCAGTCCCACTAGTCCACATCTGTAGAGTTGAAACTAGCTTTGTAACCCCTGCTTTTGTGCATTATTCAAAGGGAAAATCACAAAATGTGTCTGGATTTTTGGGACAGAATCTGCAGGGATGGGGTAGCTTTTAGCAGAAGGCCCTTGTTACCTTTGTAGTCACAAGAGATCACAATTCTATCTCATTGATAACACAGTGTGGAACTGGATGAATACAGCAGGCCAGGCAGCAGGAAAGTTGACGTTTCAGGTCTGAAGAAGGGTCCTGACCCGAAACGTCAACTTTCCTGCTCCCCTGATGCTGCCTGGCCTGCTGTGTTCCTCCAGCTCCACGCTGTGTTATTTCTGACTCCAGCATCGGCAGTTCTTGCTACCTCTATCTGATTGAAGCTTCTTTGACATCTTTAGGTGTTACATGTGCAACATTCCATGGGCTTCACATAGGACTTTGCCAGACAGTCACTGAATTGAAATCTGCACTATAGACCTGTGAGTCTGACATCAGTGGTAGGTAAGTTATGTCAGGTGATTGTGAAAGATAGGATTTACATGCATTTGGAAAGGCAAGGAATGATTAGGAATAGTCAGCATGGTTTTGTGTGAGGGAAATTATGTCTCACAAACTTGATTGAGTTTTTTGAGAAGTAGCCAAAAAGATTGATAAGGATAGAGCAGTACACATTGTTCGCTTGAATTTTAATAAAGCCTTTGATATGTTTCCACATGATGGAATAATTAGTAAAGTTAAATCACACGGGATTCAGGGTGAGATTGCTTAATGGATACAAAATTGGCTTACAGTAGGAGACATGAGGATGTTGGTGGAGGGTTGTTTTTCAGACTGGAGGCCTGTGACCAGCGATATTCCACAGGGATCGGTACTGGGTGCACTTTTGTTTGTTATTTATATAAATTAGTTGGATGAGAATACAGGAAACATGGTTACTAAGATTGAGGATGACACCAAAATTGGTGGTATAGTAAACAGTGTAGCGGGTTATCTAAGATTACGAAGAGATCTTGATTAATTGGGTCAATGGGCTGAGGAGTAGCAGATGGAGTTTCATTTGGATAAATGCGAGGTATTGCATTTTGGTAAGACAAATGAGCACAGAACGTATGGGGCCCGGGTAGTGTGGTAGAACAGAGAGATCTAAGGGTTCAAATGCATAATTCTTTGAAATTTGCATCACAGGTAGACAGGGTGGTTAAGAAGGCATTTGACGCACTTGCCTTCATTGCTCAGACTTTTGAGTATTGGAGTTGGGACGTCATGTTGAGGTTGAGCAGGACATTGGTGAGGCCTCTTCTGGCAGTTTTGGTCGACCTCTTGCGGGAAGGAACTTATTAAACTGGACAGGGTTCAGAAAAGATTTACCAGGATGTTGCCAGAAATGGAGGGTTTGAGTTATAAAAATAGGCTGGGATTTTTTTCACTGTAGCATAGGAGGTTGAGAGGTGACTTTATCAAGGTTTATAAAATCATAATGGGCATAGATAAGGTGAATTGCAAAGGTCTTTTCCCAAATGTTCAAAACCAGGGGACGTGTTTTTGAGGTGAGAGGAGAAAAGTTTAAAAAGGACACGAGGGGCAACTTTTTTACACAGAGAGTAGTTGGTGTGTGGAATGAACTGCCAGAAGAAGTGGTCGTTATAAGGTCACCCCTCACGCTCCTATGCTCCAGTGAAAAAAGTCCCAGCCTCTCCTTATAATACAAACCCTCCAGTCCCGGCAACGTCCTGGCAAATCGTTTCTGAACTCTCTCCAATTTAATAATATCCTACCTATAGCTGTGCAGATGGAACTGTACACAGTACTTCAAAAGTGGCCTCACCAATGAGTAATTTAAGTTTGATAACGGTATGCTTTTCTGGGCAAATGCTTTGTGCTGCTCCCTCCAAGGATACCTGTGCTGAGCTAGTGCTGGAGGATACTCCATTGGAAGGTCACTCAGGAAAATTGGGGGGGGAGGTGAGTACATTTATTTTTGTGTCTGGTCACAATCTGATCCCTTCCCTCTTAAAAGACAATGTGACTATTTTAGTACGGGAGAGGTCTGCCACGCTCAGAACATTCCACCCAAGGTTTCTGATCCCTACCTTTATTTCTCCTTACCCATGCCTGAATTCGCGCATCATCTCGTCAATGAAACAAAAGAACAATTTTCTGAACTGCAAGTTCTCACAGCATTGAGATTCCGTGCAAGTACCTTCTTCCAGCTACCTATGAGCAATGTCAAAGGGCAATGTCAATGTCACTTTCACTCAGATGCCAAATCAGCATAAAAACCTAATGCTTGTGTATTCACTCACCTGGATGATTTTATGTATCAGCTTAGACACAGTGCAACATGCAACCACGTTAACAAGAATTTTGTTCAATCATTTCCAGTAGTTAAGTTTTCTTTTGTGATAATTAGACTCGCATCCAAATGCAGGATTCTATCCAACCTACATTCTAAAACAAACACTTGCATTTATATAGCAACTTTTAAAGGGAAACGTCCTTTCCAGGTGTATGTGGAGGGGATGTTTCACCCTGTGTGAGAATCCAGAATTAGGGGTTTATAATTTTAAAATAAGGAGTCACCTATTTAATACGGAGATGAGAGTGGGAACCTTGTTTTTCTCTCAGAGGGTTTGGAATTCCATTCCTCAAAAGGCAGTGGATGCAGAACCTTTAAATATTTTTAAGGCAGATGTAGATAGATTCTTAATTACTAAGGGGATGAAAGATCACCTGGGGTATGCAGGAATGTAGAGTTGAGATTAAAATTAGATCAGCCATGATCTTATTGAATGGCAGGGCAGGCTCAAATGGCCAAGTGGCTTACTCTTGTTCCTTGTTCATATTTTTAACAAAGTCAGATATCCCAAGTAGTTCACAGGTGAGTTATCAGACAAAATCTGAAGCAGGAATTTGTCATGTGAGGTGATATTAGAGCAGGTAAACAGAAACATAAGAACAGGAACAGGCCCTTCGGCCCACCAAGACTGTGCCGATTCCTAATCCCTATTTAGACCAGCTACTTGTTGCCCATGTGTCATTTCTATTCCTCTATTTGCCTCCCATTCATGTGTCTATCAAGATCTGCCTTAAAAGGTGTTAATGTGCCTGCTTCCACCACATCCACTGGCAGTGTGTTCCAGGCACCCACTGCCCTCTGTATGAAAAATATCCCCCTCTCACCTTGAAACTGTGCACACTTGAAGTTGACTTTTCCACTCTGGGGAAAAAAAACTCTCTGACTATCCACTCTATCTATGCCTCTCATAATTTTGTAGACTTCTATCAGGTTGCTCCTCAGCCTCTGACTTTCCAGTGAAAACAATCTGAGCTTATCCAATCCCTCCTCATACCTAAAAACCTCCAGACCAGGCAACATCCTGATAAACTTGCAGCCTCTCCAAAACATATGGTCGAAGGAGTCTTGAAAAGGAAGAGAGACTTGAGGAGGTGCAGAGGTTTGGAGGGGAATCTAAGAGCTTTATGCTTTGGCAGCTGGAGGCAGAGCAGTGAACGGAGGAGCCATGCAGACATCTCAGGGGATTGTAGATGCAAAATACTGTGGATGCTGGATATACAAAATGAAAACAAGGGAATGCAGCAAATAGCAGG